TGGGGCGAATGCTAACAGCGAGTAAGAACAGCAGGAAATAGCGAAACTACCGCAGCAGACAAAAGAAAGTAGTCAGAGAAGGGAGAGATAATGGAGGGAGTTGTACTGCGTTAATGGAGGAGATGATCTGTCACTGAGACGGAGGGCAGAAGGCAGAGAGGAGAGAGGCGGGGTTGCCTCATAAGTAATCGAAAAACAGGGAAGGGGGGCTGGGGAGGAGGGAGTGCTAAGCTGACAGGGAAGGTGTCTACATTTCTCCTTAATGAGCTGAAGTGAAAAAGGTCTATACTTAGTGAGAGCACATCAGATAGGGGCGAGACTGGGGTGAGGATGAATAGGGATGCCTGGCATGGGAGATTTCCACAGAAGCCTGTGGGGAGAGTCGGAGGCTGTTTCACATCGCGGAACTGAGCTGCAATCTGCACAGATCTAGTGATCTGAAACGGATGGGCTCCAACGCCCTGTGACTGGACATCAGTAAATCCAAATGATGTAAGGGTTCTTGTACAGCCCTTATTGGTTAGAATTTAATTGAGCTGTATCTGTGCAGAGCTACTGATCTATCTGACAGTGAAATGGATAGACTCGACACACCCTGTGCATCTCTATCCGTGAGTCTGGTGATGCAAGGATTTTGTGCACCTGCCCACTCAAGACGAATTGAATTAGGCGAGAGCAAATTGTAAGAGAGGAAATGCTATTGCTGAGTGGGTAGATGGATGGCTCAATTGTTCTGCATGGACCTCGGCTACTAAATAAACACACCACAAGATAAAATCGGAGAATAACAAAACACAATTTGTCGTATCATGCGCATTTCCTCTGGTGAAGACCTCACGCGGCATGGAGCCATTTGCTCAGCTCACAGACCTTGGCCAGGCTAGTATGTCAGACCACACAGAAAATAGACCAGCCCGGGTTTCCTGACCACGTTTTAGCTCTCGTTTTTTTTGTGCCCTAGTTTTTGATGAATATGAGAAATCAGTCCCACGGTCATAGTGGTGAACATACTGCTACATAAAAAGGGGTCAAGTTCCATTGACTCTGTAAGCCGATACCCACGCAGGGCACATTTCCCAAAGAGGTGGGTGAATGTGGAGAGCACCTCTTCACTGGTATTTTTATATGAGGATGTTTATGTAAAAATCAGACAGGGTAAAGACCTTGGTAGACCACAGTGAAGGTGTACACTCACTGGCCAGTTTATTAGATACACCCATTTAGTACCGGGTTGGACCTCCCTTTGCCTCGGGAACAGACTGAATTCTTCGGGGCATGTATTCTACAGGTCGGAAACATTCCACAGGGATGTTGCTCCATGCTGACGTGATGGCATCACGCAGTTGCTGCAGATTGGTTGGTGGAACCCGGTGTGGTCGTCTGCTGCGATAGCCTATCCGTGACAAGGATCGACGAGTTGTGTGTTCCAAGATGCTGTTCTGCACACAACAGCTTGCACGATTCTTGCCATTCTCCTTCGACCTCTCATCAACGAGCTGTTTTTGCCCACAGGACTGCCGCTGACTGGATGTTTTTTGTTCGTCGCACCGTTCTCGGTAAACCCTAGACACTGTTGTGCGTGAAAAGCCAGGAGTGCGGCCGTTTCTGAGATACTGGATCCGGCAGGCCTGGCACCGACGATCATACCACGCTCAAAGTTGCTTAGGTCACTTGTTTTGCCCATTCTAACGTTCAATTGAACAGTAACTGGATGCCTGTCTGCCTGTTTTCTATAGCAAGCCCCGGCCACGTGACACACTGTCTGTATGAGCAATCCATTTCCGTGAACGTAGTGGTGTACCTAATAAACTGTCCCGTGAGTGTATATGATTTGAGCAACCATATAACCTTGTTATTCTGTTTGTGTCTGTCACTTTTATGATCGCTTTGCATGCCTTATCCGCTCTGTGACAGAGGCTTGGCAAGGTGTTAAAAGAAATGCAGATGGATGGATATTCTCCAGACTTAGCGTGGCATTTTCTGTTTGTCTTTTGAGGGAGACTGATGTGGTGTAGAGAGAGGGAAACATGAAAGCGAGTGAGTGAGAGGAAGGACAGACTGAAAGACGGACGCAGTGGATGGGATTGAAGAGAGGCGAAGTGAAGCGTGGAGGAGGGAAGAGACTCTTGGAGACGGGCTTAGCAAGTGATAAGGTTTCCTGGGGAGAAGCCTGTTTTGGAATTAGAACGCTCTTGAAGCATACCTACCAGCTCTCTATTGAAACTTGTAGTCTTGTACTTTAAGAGTCGTTCTTCATCATCATACGTTATAGTTTCACTGGTCGGCATATCAACACTTTCAACTGCCATACCTCAGATTCTGTACTCACACTTAATCATCTGTATGTAACATATGCTAGTGAATGCATATTTTCTTCATTGCTGTCAAGGATAGAATAACAGGTTTACAAATATGTTAAATTACTATGCAATTATCCATCCTTGTATAGGCCTAAATGACTATGGTCTCCCAACTCTATTACCCCCCCCCCCCCCACCCCCACAAACCACCTTATCTCTCCATCCCTCCCCCTTTCCTGCCCCTCCCCTTCCCCCGTCCACCATTGGCAGTGTCTGCTCTGTGATGAGCGGGCTGTCACCAGATGTGACTGAGAAAGAACAGCTTGTTGTTCAGCTTCACAGCTGCTTTGCCTCATCCACAGTCACTCCATCACATCTCCTTGACGACCAAAAGCACAGCATGCGTTCCTGGAAGTCACGAGCTGGGTTGGGATCAAATTGCAGTCTGTTTACAACTTGTTTACGGTTGGCTTGATTGAGTCATGAAAATATTGATATTGTTGCCGAGAGAGGGGAGGGATTTGGACAGTCTCTCGTCCAGACTAATCTCCCCCAAGGACGTTTTGATTGAAGGGCACTGGTACAATATCTCATGTGTGTGATAGTTTAAGATTACTAACCAGATGGAACTGGGAGGAAAGATAAGACATTTGATGTGGACAGAGTCACCAGAAACCAAAACTGAATTTATGGAATCTGACAAGGTTGACCCCCCCCCACCTCATTTAGGTGCACAGTGTGACCAGCTGGACTTTGACATCCAGGAACCTTGGCCTTGTGATCTAAGCAATCGTATCTTTCCTTTATTGAGGAAGAGGTGACGGCAACTATATGAATGGCCAATCACATTGGGGTAGAGGTGAAAAGGACACTTCCACCTTGTCATTCACAGGTGCTAGACATGAGGAGTATATTTTAGCCCAAGGAACTAATGTTATTTAATTAGATTTCTCCTGTTATGTTTTTTCCCCACCCATCTGGCAGATTGTGCCCGTGATCCTGGAAATCCAGGGATCAGAGCAGAGCCAGATATGTATGTAATCAACGGGAGAGAGCAGCCCGTCCCCAGCCCAGGAGCCAGAGATGAGAGATTTGGGTATTTTTAATCAGTGTGAATCCCTCAATAGGGCGACAAGCAGCAAGACCCCTAATTTGAGGACTTAAATCACAAAGCCGGCATTATTTCACCACCCGCATGTTTGTGATTTACCGGCCCAGAGTGAAAACTCCTGAGACACAGCCGAGATACACCTCTACCAGGTTGGCTCTGACGCAACTAAAATCCTGAACCGCTGTTTTACCCTTACGGCAATGTCCTTGCTGCAGTTATAAATATGTAACGTCACCAAATCTATACCTAAGGCATGTTGATGAAAACACTGTGCATGCATGTCAGGTTTGCTGTATTGATGGAAATGGTGTGCACAGTGAGACCTTTGACTGCCGTCTGGAGTTGAAACAGAGGTTGTTTCCGTTGAATAGTGCACTCACTGCATGTTGCCTCCCATTTAGAGGCATGGTGCATTAATACAGTAGTGTCCTGGTATTCAGCAAGCTAACCGATGACATCATCTGGGTCCGTTTACATTGCTCCCAGTTCATTATCCATTTCAAGCAGTTGAGGGTTAACTGAAGCAAATCAGGTGAAGTATCTTCCTTAGGGCTAGCCCAGTGCCTGGAGTGAATCAGCTGCTATTTGAATCATCATTGTTTACAAGCCGTCGATGCCCTCCCACCCACTACTATGCTAGGTAAAAAAACAAAAAACAATTGCGCAATATTTGAGCTGCATTTTGTACCCGCTTACTTAAAAGAAAAAGAAACCGTGTGCAATGGAGTACTACAGTTTACAGAGACTACCAGATAAGACCACTGTACAAAATCAATAACCAGGTAATTGAGCGGATGAGTCTGGAACAACCTGCAGTACCTACTGTCTGAACTGTAACAATGCAGTATGAAGTAAACCTGGTCTGAGCAGGACTAATTATTCCTCCAAGGACCTTCCTCAAAAGTATTTGCATGGACCTTTCCCAGCACCTTTTCATCTGTGTTCAGGATAGTGATAGGTCTGTAATACATACTTGGATTAAGCTGCCTATTCTCATTCTAGTGGATAAGTCTCTTGCCCTTAATGTAATTCAATGTTTCCCCTCCTGTGTGGTTTTCTTAACGTGATGATTGACTATAAATGTGGACACTGCTGCCTGCTACTCGGTGACGATACTGTGCTCTTTAAAAACTCACCTTATTCCGTGTGAGAGCCCCCCCCTCTCCCCCACACACTCACAGAGCTAGTTTATTATTCACCATATTAATAGTTATACGATTAAACTTAGATTCAGGAATAAATACCCTCCTAAAACCATGACGTTAATCCCTAGCTAAATAGGTATTTGCTCCGGTACATGACAGATCTACGTTACACGACAGCCCGTAGAGCAACATGTCCCAAACTCGGTCCTCGGGACCCCAAGGGGGGGCACGTTTTGGTTTTTGCCCTAGCACTACATGGCTGATTTAAATCATCAAAGCTTGATGATTAGTTGATTATTTGTAGTGCGAAGGCAAAAACCAAAACGTGCACCCCTTGGGGTCCTGAGGACAGAGTTTGGGAAACTCTGCCGTAGATGACAAACACTCATTAAAACAACACATTTCACTGCAATACAATGTCAATTTATTTCTTAATTGAAAATAATGTACAGCCCAGGTGGGATTCTGGGAAGTGTCGTTTTTGGATGGATTGTGGGATTTAGAGCCCATAGTCTGGGATTTCTGGCAAAGGAACCGGAGTGGGTGCCCTGTAATTGTAGTGGTGTGGCTTTTCTTTATGGCTTTGACATGTGGTAATGGGGAAAAGCTGCGTTTATCCCACCACAGAAAAAAGGCATTGTCCAAACAATGTCAAATGTCCACAAAGGACTTCTCCCTTCCCATTACTCCAGACTTCTCCCTTCCCATTACTCCAGACTTCTCCCTTCCCATTACTCCAGACTTCTCCCTTCCTGTTACTCCAGACTTCTCCCTTCCCATTACTCCAGACTTCTCCCTTCCCATTACTCCAGCTCCTACGCATCTTTTCCCTTTCATATTTGAAGGAAGGAAGGAAGGAAGGAAGGAAGGTGTGACAGACCTCTATCAAAGACATTTACATGGGCAGGGTCTGGCTTGTCGTTGACCACTCTTAATAGCGACGATTGTTGACGTGCGACAAAGTCACTGGGTGCAACTGGACTTAATTCGTCTTAAGTGCTTTTCTCTGTCAGCTGACATTCACTCTGCGCTGCCTCTTTTCCATTCACTTATTAACTTCTAGTACTGTGTGCCGGCAGACAAGAGACAGACTCTAATGGCTCTCAAATTAATATTGCGGCCCCATGACAGAAGCAGTGGAGTCCGTGGCAACAAGGCATCGACAAGGCTTCTAAATAATGGGGAAACGCAGCGTACTCACCCAATCCACCTCTACTCTCTCTCTCTCTCTCATTTCATTCCTGCCGTACCCTCTCCCTCTCCTCCTCCCCATCTGTTTCTTCCTCCTCCCCCTGGCCAGGTGCAGTGTAGATGTTGCTTGTCAATAATTTAATAAGAGGGAGAGCTCTCTCCTCTTAACCAGGCGGATGAATTATGAATCGGGCAGAATGGAGCGCCAAGGCTGCAGGGCTGTGTTTGGGCTTTTCTGAACAGGAATGATAAAATAATTGTATATAGAAGTATGAAGACAAACATTGTCTCGCACACAGCTTAGGTCCACATTCATGCATGTTTGATAAACATGCATTTGTAGCCAAATGAATAGCATCTTTATTTTCTGTGTGTAGATAGGTTATGTACAGTGGATAACTGTGTTTGGGGGTATGTTGTAGATAGGTTATGTACAGTGGATAACTGTGTTTGGGGGTATGTTGTAGATAGGTTATGTACAGTGGATAACTGTGTTTGGGGGTATGTTGTAGATAGGTTATGTACAGTGGATAACTGTGTTTGGGGGTATGTTAGCAGGTTTGTGAGAGGGAGTGCTGAGGCCCACATACATTTATCATAGGAGGGCTGTGGAGTAGAGCTGTAGCTGTGCGATTGGATAGCCATTCCAGAGACATGATGCATGGCTACTGAACCCCTTTGGGAAGAGGATTCACTCAGAGTGGAACACACTGTATGCTATGCAGATCTTGCAATCGCCAGTTCTCTACACACACACACACACACACACACACACACACACACACACACACACACACACACACACACACACACACACACACACACACACACTTAAATTCATATATCCTTTTGTTTTACACAAAGATACACAATTCATTTTCTCTCTCTCTCTCTCTCTCTCTCTCACACACACACACACACACACACACACACACACACACATCAAATTTAAATTTCTCAGTATATCTCTTTATAGAGCTTGTGTACACACTCCCATACATATCACCATTCTCCCTTTACAAGGACAGACGGGCAGAATAGAAAAATGAAGGTAGAAGAACGGCACAAAGAGAGGAGGGGGGGGAGGTGAGGGGAGTGGGGAGAAAGTGAGTGGGAGTGTACAAGCAGGAGCAAGGCTTAAGAGAGAATGAACGACGTGACGGGACATTGGAGGTAAAGAGAGCCGACTTGAGACCCTGGGAGATAAAAGGAAGAGCGGTAGATGAAGAAGGTCTGACACATAGCAAAGTGGTGGAGATGAAAGAGAGAGATGGGGACTAAGGGATTGGGGAATGCAGAAAAGAGAGAAGGGAGCACTACTTTGACCTTGAGATGAAGAGGAAAAGAGAGCGAGAGGGGGGAGAGCGAGTGGAGGGGCTGAACAGAAGGGAGGTAGAGGGGGAGAGAAAGGGAGAAGTGGAGAGCGAGAGAGCTAGCCGGCAGTCAGTGACAGCCAGTTGAGAGGATCAGTCTGCTTAGTGTCTGTCCGATCGACAGGAGAGTCGGGGGAAACAGCTGGAGGCACTCTGAGTGTGTGTGTGTGTGTGTGTCTATCTGTGTGTGTCCCTTTGTGAGGTGTGTGTGTCTTTGTTCCTGCATGGTGTGTGTTTATTGAGTTTGTGCTCTGTCCATATTAGGGTGTGCCTTTTGTGTTTGTATAGAAGCGAGGGATGGGGAGAGAGAGAGGAAGGACAGAGGGAGACCAAGGTGAGTGGCAGAGAGTGAGGGAGAGAGCGAGAGCGCGGCATGACCCTAGCTGCCACGACCTAATCCTCTAGCGTGGACCATTTGGCTGTGATCAGTGTACCTGCAGAGCTAATGGATTCAGATGTGGGAAGGGAAGCGCGAGGGAGGGAGAGGGGGATGAATGGGCCAGCTCACCGGAGGTCTGCTTGAATATGGCAGAGATGTCATAACTGCACAATGCTCATCACGGGTCAGCCACATAAAGAGTGGCGGGCGGGAAAGGTGCCTTTGCTTTCGACTCATTTCGTGTTCGACACATTCTGGGCTAAAGTACACAGCAGCACTTTATCCTCTTTCCTGCTTTCTTTTTTTCATCTATTTTGAAAAAATATATATATACAAAAAGAACAGAGTGCCCACATGCAGCTCACCCATTCTCCCAGCTCACTCTGTAGTTTCTCTGCACCTGTGCCCTCCACACTCCTAGTACCGCCTCTGCAGGCCTTGGCTCCCTCTCTCCCTCTCTCTGTCTCCTCTCCATCTTTTTCTTGCTCTCTCTCTCTCGTTCCCTCCCTCGTTCTCTCTCTCTCCATCTCTCTTTCCATCTTCCTCTCTCTCTCGCTCTCTCTCTCTTCATTTTGGCTGCCTGACAACTCGGCCAGAACCCGTACCTGTTCTTTTGTCTCCAATCCAGCCTGAAATAACACGGCTCTTCGACAAGTGGCTCCAGCAGAGCGCCTCCTCCCTGAACCCTTGTTATTCATTTGTGTGCCTTCCCCCCTTGCCACTTTCACATCGTTCTGGCAGAAATATCGGTAATTACGCCTTTGCGCTTGACTAACTACATTTTTGCTTGTTCGGATTGTTAAATGTCAAGGGTGCTCCACGTACAGAACTGATCACGCTTTTTAAATGAGCCAGACTCCAGGTTGTAAAGCTTCCTCTAATAATTTGTCTCATTTCGACTGTTTTTTCGCTTCCCACATTTCACTTTGGCCAACATTGCTTTGATGAAGTTCGGAAACAAATCAGAAACACTGTACATACGAGGTGAGCGTTAGTAAAAGCCATCAGGCAGCAGGGGAAATGTGCGTGTGTGAAATCTGTAATTGGCCCAGTGTGGATAACACGACTGATTATGGCTGAGGTGTTAATAATTTTATCTTTCCTGCTCACTGCTGCTTACAAGCCGGAAGATGCATGTGATGTTGGCTCTGCATGTATTCCATGGGCTCAAGTCTGCCTGTTAAATGAGCCCTGTGACAATAGGCTATCGCTTACTCCTGGTTGCTTAGTGATGTTAATGATCCCTAATGATTCCTGACTAATGCAGGAATGATCAAGGAATATATTTGATAAAGAATGTCTATATGAATTGAGTAGACTTGATAAGAGTGTCACAGGACTATAGAATAAAACATATACAGTACCAGTCAAAAGTTTGGACATCTACTCATTCCAGGGTTTTTCTTTATTTTTACTATTTTCTATATTGTAGAATAATAGTGAAGACATCACAACTATGAAATAACACATATGGAATCATGTAGTAACCAAAAAGTGTTAAACCAATCAACATTTATTTTATATTTGAGATTCTTCAAATAGCCACCCTTTGCCTTGATGACAGCTTTGCACACTCTTGGAATTCTCTCAACCAGCTTCATGAGGTAGTCACCTGGCATGCATTTCAATTAACAGGTGGGCCTTGTTAAAAGTTAATTTGTGGAATTTCTTTCCTTCTTAATGCATTTGAGCCAATCAGTTGTGTTGTGACAAGGTAGGGGTGGTATACAGAAGATAGCCCTATTTGGTAAAAGACCAAGTCTATATTATGGCAAGAACAGCTCAAATAAGCAAAGAGAAACGACAGTCCATCATTACTTTAAAACATGAAGGTCAGTCAATCCGAAAAATTTCAAGAACTTTGAAAGTTTCTTCAAGCGCAGTCTCAAAAACCATCAAACGCTATGATGAAACTGGCTCTCATGAGGACCGCCACAGGAAAGGAAGACCCAGAGTTCCCTCTGCTGCAGAGGATAAGTTCATTAGCGTTAACTGCACCTCAGATTGCAGCCCAAATAAATGCTTCACAGAGTTCAAGTAACAGACACATCTCAACATCAACTGTTCAGAAGAGACTGCGTGAATCAGGCCTTCATGGTCGAATTGCTGCAAAGAAACCACTACTAAAGGACACCAATAATAAGAAGAAACTTGCTTGGGCCAAGAAACACAAGCAATGGACATTAGACTGGTGGAAATCTGTCCTTTGGTCTGATGAGTCCTAATTGGAGATTTTAGGTTCCAACCGCCGTGTCTTTGTGAGACGCAGAGTAGGTGAACGGGTGATCTCCGCATGTGTGGTTCCCACCGTGAAGCATGGAGGAGGAGGTGTGATGGTTTGGGAGTGCTGTGCTGGTGACACTCGTATCATTTGTTTTTCAACAGGACAACGACCCAACACACCTCCAGGCTGTGTAATTGCTATTTGACGAAGAAGGAGAGTGATGGAGTGCTGCATCAGATTACCTGGCCTCCACAATCACCCGACCTCAACCCAATTGAGATGGTTTGGGATGAGTTGGACCGCAGAGTGAAGGAAAAGCAGCCAACAAGTGCTCAGCAAATGTGGGAACTCCTTCAAGACTGTTGGAAAAGCATTCCAGGTGAAGCTGGTTGAGAGAATGCCATGAGTGTGCAAAGCTGTCATCAAGGCAAAGGGTGGCTACTTTGAAGAATCTAACATTTGTTTAATACGTTTTTGGTTACTAAATGATTCCATATGTGTTATTTTACAATTTTGATGTCTTCACTATTATTCTACAATGTAGAAAATATTAAAAAGAAAGAAAAACCCTTGAATGAGTAGGTGTCCAAACTTTTGACTGGTACTGTATATTTTTCATGATTTGACGGTCAATACTGTCCAGTAAGAAGCAGGCCTAATGATTGGGGTTTCTCTGGTCTTCTTCTACATATGTCTGTCAGCCCGTATTGAGCTGAAGCACAGCTCTCCTTCGTGATACTGTCGAGCTGATTTCTCGATGCTGCGCTCACTCGGATCTAATACGTGTTTTCTGTTGATGCTGGAAGTCATTGTTTTTCAAAGGAACTCCTGTGGTTGCCAGCTCGAACCTCACACTGAAGTGCTTTGAAAGAAAGACGTAGAGATCTTTACCTGCCTTCTCTTATTCATCTCAGCTTAGCCTGCAGAAGGAACCGGTTCAAGGCTATGCCCATGCCGGGTCTTTCATGCACAGCACTGCTAAGTGTGCTCAAAGGTAGACTCAGCGAGATAACGTTACAACAAACAGCACTACAGATATTGAGATGAGTGCGATGCAAGACTTTGCTCTCACATAGTCACACAGAGTATGTGCGCATGTACACGGGTGCGCTTCACGCTGCTAGAATGTGGTAGCTACCGGACCAAAACAGCAGAGAAGTTTAGCCTCACGCTTCAACGCTCTTAGTTGTTGTGGAAATCGACCCACTGTGTTTACTTGCATGCAACGTCATCTCGCTGAGTTTACCTTTTAAGATTCACAATAGTCATACCTCGTTTATCTAAAAGGCTGACATAGAAGGAAATCAGTTTACTGGAAATCCATGAACAGGATATGAGCTGGGTGTGAATTGTGTGAGTCAGAGCCTTCTATTTTGATACTTCTAAATAATAGGCTCAGTCTGGTGTGATGACACAGGTGTACAGTGCCTTCGGAAAGTATTCAGACCCCTTGACTTTTTCCACATTTTGTTACGTTACAGCCTTATTCTAAAATGGATTCAATAGTTTTTTCCCTCATCAATCTACACACAATAACCCATAATGACAAAGCAAAAACAGCTTTTTAGACATTTTAGCAAATGTATTACAAGTCAATAAAAACTATCACATTTACATATGTATTCAGACCTTTTACTCGGTAATAATAATAATAATAATATGCCATTTAGCAGACGCTTTTATCCAAAGCGACTTACAGTCATGCGTGCATACATTTTTACGTATGGGTGGTCCCGGGGATCGAACCCACTACCTTGGCGTTACAAGCGCCATGCTCTACCAGCTGAGCTACAGAGGACCACAAACATTGTTGAAGCACCTTTGGCAGCGATTACAGCCTCAAGTCTTGTTGGGTATGACGCTACAAGCTTGGCACACCTGTGTTTATGGGGTTTCTCCCATTCTTCTCTGCAGATCCTCTCAAGCTCTGTCAGGTTGGATGGAGAGCGTCGCTGCACAGCTATTTACAGGTCTCTCCAGAGATATTCGATCAGGTTCAAGTCCAGGCTCTGGCTGTGCCACTCAAGGACATTCAGACACTTGTCCCAAAGCCTCTGCTGCGTTGTCTTGGCTGTGTGCTTAGCGTCGTTGTCCTGTTGGAAGGTGAACCTTCATCCCGGTCTGAGGTCCTGAGTGCTCTGGAGCAGGTGTTCATCAAGGATCATTCTGTACTTTGCTCTGTTCATCTTTGCCTCAATCCTGACTAGTCTCCCAGTCCCTGCCGCTGAAAAACATCCCCACAGCATGATGCTGCCACCACCATGCTTCACTGTAGATGTGACGCTTAGCATTCAGGCCAAAGAGTTCAATCTTGGTTTCATCAAACCAGAAAATCTTGTTTCTCATGGTCTGAGAGTCCTTTAGGTGCCTTTTGGCAAACTCCAAGCGGGCTGTCATGTGCCTTTTACTGAGGAGTGGCTTCCGTCTGGCCCCTACCATAAAGGCCTGATTTGGTGGAGTGCTGCAGAGATGGTTGTCCTTCTGGAAGGTTCTCCCATCTCCACAGAGGAACTCTGGAGCTCTGTCAGAGTGACCATCGGCCCTTCTCCCCCGATTGCTCAGTTTGGCCGGGCGGCCAGCTTTAGGAAGAGTCTTGGTGGTTCTAAACTTCTTCCATTTAAGAATGATGGAGGCCTTCCCCAGATCTGTGCCTCGACACAATCCTGTCTCTGAGGTTTACGGATAATTCCTTTGACCTCATGGCTTGGTTTTTGCTCTGACATGCACTGTCGACTGTGGGACCTTATATAGACAGGTGTGTGCCTTTCCAAATCATGTCCAATCAATTGAATTTACCACAGGTGGACTCCAATCAAGTTGTAGAAACATCTCAAGGATGATCAATGGAAACAGGATTCACCTGAGCTCAATTTCGAGTCTCATAGCAAACGGTCTGAATACTTATGTAAATAAGGTATTTCTGTTTTTTTATTTTTAATACATTTGCCAAAATTTCTAAGAACAACCTGTTTTCGCTTTGTCATTGAGGTATTGTGTGTAGATTGATGAGCATTTTTCAAATCCATTTTAGAATAAGGCTGTAACGTAACAAAATGCGGAAAAAGTCAAGGTCTGAATACTTTCCAAATGCACTAAGTGCCAAACTGGCCTTAATGCTGAAAGAGAAAGAGACACTTTCAGCATTATGGCCTGTTTGGCACTTATACCTGCTACAGAGAGAGCATTCACCACTGTGAATAATGTCCTCAAACTGTATGGTGCATTTTGATCACAGTGATTTAATGTCGTTTCGGGAGGGGGCGGATGTGAGAGGGTGAGGTGCAGTCCAGATAGATACTGAGAAATAAACTCTAAATCGAGCTGATTGCTGCTTTTCCGGTCGTAGACAAAGAAGTTTGACAGCCCCGGCCCCATTTGTCTCCCTGCGGTGGGAATTCTGGTTCAATGGCAGAGTCACTCACATATGCACTGTTCAATCACTCTACACTCAGCATTAGTATGAGTTGTTCCCAGACACACAAACCCACACACTCTTTACAATCTCAGCGCTGGCACAGTTAGATGCACACCCGCTAAGACTCAGTCACCCTATTTTTCCACCCTTGTCGAGCTGGCTGGCGACATGCTGTACTGATCAATCTCTACTATACACTGGGCTTTCAGTGGAACTGAGATGGTAGTGAGGGGGGGGGGGGGGTTCTGTAAGCCTGAGCCACAGGCAGAAAATTAGAGGCTGAATGATGTTTATTTGTTTTTCGCTCTCTGTCTCTCTCTCTCTCTCCATCCACAGCAGCTTTGTGTCAGCGGGTGAGGGTGGAGACGGAGGTGGAGGCGTACCCCACCGAGTCGGTCGACCTTCGCTGTCAGTTTGTCGATGGAGGAAACACCAAGCTCACACAGGTAGCCAGATAACACATGATGAGAGAGCCTGCTGTGCACGTCAGCCTTGACGCAGAGAAAGACAAATATTGCTCTCTGATTTCCTTGAAAAGAAAGGACAGTACTGTAAAGATGTTCTCTAGAGTTTTAATGTAGCAACCGTTGTGGCCGAAAACATTTCTGCATTGAAATTCTGTCAGTGTGGGTGCTCACCTTTTCTCTTAATATGCTATTTCATACCCCTGGATCTGTGAAATCTATGTCCATAGACTGCCATCCTGCAACCCTCTAAGATCTTGTCTAATTTCTTGTCATTCCTCTTGGATACAGGTGTCGTGGATATGGGAGCCCACAGAAGGCCAGAGGGACAACATTGCCGTCTTTCACCCCACATACGGCGAGAGCTTCCCCGAATCTCCCTTCACTGGACGTGTCCGCTTCATCCATGGCACGTTGACAAACCCCTCCATTACCATCACCAGCCTCAAGATGGCCGACGCCGGGCGGTACACCTGCGAGTACGCCACCTACCCCAGCGGCAATGAGCAAGGCACCACCAATCTGGTCATGCTTGGTGAGCAGCTGGTGTTTGTTTTCTGTCAGTCTGTGCCCTAATTGCACTCGGCGAAGAGAGGGCTCCGGTGCTATGACTAATGGTGTCCTCAAATGAATGCGGTGTCACGAAACCCATCAGTTCCAATGCACCCACCTTGTTAAGCCGCCGCATCGATCGCCTCGCTTTTCATGCTCGCCAGCTGAATCACTGCTGCCTTTCTCTTGCACTCTATCTTTGATTAAACTCTGAGGGACCACACTTCCAGTATATGCACAACAACAAACTCACTCATGCAGTCGCTCCCCATCTCTCCTCTCTCTCTCAGCTAAACCCAAGAATTCTGCATCTCCCGTTATCGTCCAAGCCATCACCAGCGGCAAACCAGTGGTCGTGGCCCAGTGTGAGGCGGCTGACGGTAAGCCAGCGGCCACCATCAACTGGATGGGAGCGGTCGGTGGCACTGAAAACACCACCTCCAAAAAAGGGCCGGACGGCACGGTGACGGTGAGGAGCGAGTACCTCCTGGTGCCCACGCCCGAGGACAACGGCAAAGAGGTCACCTGCATAATCAGCCAGCGCACCCAGGACAAGCCCCAAACCTTCCCCATGAAGCTGTCCGTCGAGTGTAAGCGTGAACTACTGGGTTTCGAACCCACGCCACACAAATGTTAACCCTCTGAACCAAAGCCTAGGCATTACTGAAATAACTGTTTGAATAACCGTCTTATTCAACCAAGTGGGTAAAAAACACTTATTTTAAATATAGGCATTAGGTCTCAGGTCTCAGACAAGGTTGGGTTATTCATCACACAAGCATGGTTCACATCCTCCATTTCAGAAGCATGTTAGGGCTGCTGTGTTTGTTTTTACCTAGCGTGAGACATCAGTCCCTAGTCATATCTCTGCATTCCTCTGGCGGTAGTTTTCAGTCTCACTGATGCTTTATAGGTCAACTCTTGCTGTGAAAACCTCTGTGTCGAAGTCTCTTCCACTCCTGAACTCCAGTAGGTAATCAGTGTCATGAGGTACAGCTAGGAGAAGACAGAAGAGAGATGAGAGGATAGGAAGCGAGAGAGAGAGAGCGAGAAGAGAGGAGAGAGAGAGAGGAAAGAGAGAGGATATATGATACGATCTCTCTCTCTCGTATAGATCTCTATCTCTCTCTCTCTCTCTCTCTCTCTCTCTCTCTCTCTCTCTCTCTCTCTCTCTCTCTCTCTCTTTTCTCTCGCGCTCTCTCTCTCTCTCGCTCTCTCTCGCGCTCTCTCTCTCTCGCTCTCGCGCTCTCTCTCTCTCTGCCTCTCTCTCTCTCTGCCTCTCTCTCTCTCTGCCTCTCTCTGCCTCTCTCTCTCTCTGCCTCTCTCTCTCCTCTCTCTGCCTGTGTCTGTTTCTCTCTCTCTGTCTCTCTCTCTTTCGTACTTTTCCCCTTCTTTCTCAGATCCCCCGACTGTGTCCATAGTGGGCTATGATAACAACTGGTACATCGGCCGGACCGACGCTGTCCTGACCTGCCAGGCCACTGGCAACCCTGCCCCCACCACCGTCACTTGGACAGTGTGAGTATCCCTTCCCATAGCTGTCCCAGACCTTTGGAGTATCCCTCTCATGACTGTCCCAGACGTACGGAGTATCCTTCTTATGACTGTCCCAGACTTTTGGAGTATCCTTCCCCATTGTGGTCTTAATTCGCCCGAAGAATTACTTTAGACAATGTCTCCCCTGTCTATCCCAGACAACAGAAGGAGTCAGTCAGGCATAAACAATCAATTAACAATTCCAACCTGATCTGCTAGAGTACCAATATTGCCCGTCCTCTGGGGCCCAGCAGCTTGCTTTTATCTCGTAATGGGGAACACAAGCATCTCTGCAGCAGTTAAATGGAAAAGAAAACCATATTTAATTTGTTTTTCTCTTCTTGTTGATTATCCACATTGTCTTCGTTTCGTCTCGTGATGATAGACAGATGGCGGTTAGATGGACTGTTGTTGCAGCCGACAGCCTGCTCCTCCAGTTGAGGTTCTGAATATGGAACGGGATTTGTGGAACAGGAACGGGTCATATGGCTGTGGTTCTTCCAAATCGTTTGTCTCTCTCACTCCTGTTCCCCCTCTCCCTCCCACACACAGCATGTCAGGTTCGATGCCTGACACGGTGCAGATCAACGCCAACAAGCTGATCGTGCGGAAGGTGGATGAGGCTGTGAACACCACCTTTGTCTGCGAGGTGAAGAACCGGCTGGGAGTGAGCAAGCACCAGGTCACCACAGCAGTCATCGGTGAGTCAAACCCACTGAGAACGTGACGGCTGCCTGCCTACTCCAACTTAATGATACATACACACACTGATACACCATTCCTGCCCACGAGCATATGTGCAAAACACACACAGACATTTGTGGGGACACACACACTGGGATCAGGGCTAAACTCCTGCAGGCTGATATTTTTCCATCATTTACTCTGTCAGAGACTAACGTTCTCTCACAGCTTACTCTCAGTCATCTGCTGGGCAGGTTTGGGTTGTAGGGGTTCTGAGAAGGGTTATTTTATTAATGCGGGAAATCAGTTGGTGTGAGCCAGTTTTCCGGGTTTTCTTTTCTCCTCACTAACATCCTCAGTGTAGGTCTATCGCTTCTTTCCCCCCTTCGAATAAGAGTCCGCTCTTCCTCTGCATGCACTTTCTCCTCTCTTTGCTCCCATGCTTTCACACATTGATCCAATAAACACAGAACAGCCTTATGTTGGCTAGCTTTGACTTGGGCGTCAGTTGTGCTTTGTAGGATGTCAGCTATGCTGTGTTACATTGTGGATTCTGCCTGGTCAAAATGGGTGCCGCCTTTCGATCAGTTGAACAACGCAAAAGCTACATTTAGAATCCGTGGGAATCCTTTTAGAGATTTTGAATTGTCTCCCTTTGAGAACAAAGGTGCTTTGTAGGCGCACACTGCTGAAACGTGTGGGAGGTGGGGAAGAAGTAAGCCTCTGGTGCTCTAGCTAGCAGCGTTGCCTTGTGACTACAGTATCAGGGCTGGCTGGCACTCCCACCAGCCCCGCAACTTTGCAAGTACCTGAGAAAAAACCTGGTCCAACCTCCATTGACTTTGTCCTTGGCTTTGAACAGTGTTTCATCCCATAACAGTATGAGTTTTGTGTGCAGAAACACATTTGAAAGGAAGCAACTGAAATGAAACCACTTTGTAGCACAAACACAATCCGTTACCTTCATTTTCACTTGTGAATCCTTTTAAAAGCTCTCTCTGTTCCCTTTAACTTCAGATGAAAGCGCTGAGATATTTATCTGGGGGTGGCTTTTAAAACACCCCTTTAAGGTTGGGATTGTAACAAGGGTGGAGAGCACAAAGTAGGAGATTATGTCCTTTCTCTTAAAGAGGAGCGTTCGGTCACGTGACCCATGGTCTCGGAGTAAAAGAAAGAACAGAGTTCTGCTGACGAAAGGAAAAAGCCCCACTCTCGCTCGACACTTGCTCAGCGGGCACGTGCCAGAGACGGCGCGTTAGTGTCGACAAGGCGCCAGCTGGATCTGGATCTGGATCTGTCCATGTAGGCAGAGATCTAGAAAGGGTAAAACAGTAACAGAAAAGTCCATAGAACTCTGAGATGACTCCTGCTAGAATTTCAACAGCCTGGCAGGGTGTCGCGACCCCTTGTCTCTCCAGTGCCCCCCTCCTTAGTGGGCGGTTCCAGCTGGCTCGGTGCATAGCGTTATTGTCACTGTTCACTGGAACGCTTCTGAATTGACCAGCAGAACACATGCGCACATACACACACCACTTCCTCAGGCAAGCCATCCACTGGACCCACACACACACAAGCCTCCTCAGGGACAGAATAATAAACTAATCTAGCCGAGAAGAAATACTGGCACTGAAATGTCTGCTGACATAAACCCGGGGCTAGTACCCTACTGTATTGTAGCATTAGTTCCCGGGGGTGTCCTCCTCAGGGATGGACTGGCTGGAGGCCACTGGAAGTTAATCTTGAATGAATTGTCATATCTCGATTAATCCATCTTGATTGAGCAGATTTTGTTTCCCGCCTCAGTTGTGTCCATGTTAAGGGGGTGTTGTTAGAATTGCCAGACTGTGAGGTTTCATCTCTGTGAGGGAGATAAGGAGAGAGGCAGGCACCTGGCCATGGTGGCTTATCAGAGACTGCCCCGTGGTGCCCAGAGAGAGGCTAAACCTGCCCCATGGAGAGCCTGGCGGGAAGGTACAAATAAACAAGTTAGAGAATATCTACCATGAACATCTGCCCATTTGCCTCCAATGATACTAGATGTACTGGATGTAGTTTGCAGAGCTAGTCCAATGTGACCCAGTAACCTTGCCCAAGGCCTGAAGAGGCGTGTTACAAAGAACTAACACCAAAGAACTAGCAAAATTGACAAACCTCGGACATTAGCACCACCAGACTGGGTTAGCTTGCAGAGCTTAAATGGATAGTGTGAGATTTTGGCGATTCGAGGAAAAGCCCTTTTTCTACCTACCCAGAGTCAGATGATCTCATGGATGCCATTTTTATATCTCTAATTGGCGTTAGCGCAATGACTAGAAGTCTACCAGAACAGCTAGCATGCTCATCAAGTTCATATGACTCTTGATATGTAGAAAAAAGGCTTAGTTGCCAAAATCTCATACTATCCCTTTAACATCTGCAAGCTAACCCAGTCTGCTGGAGTGCTGATAACCAAGGTTGATCAATTAAATATATATATTTAAAAAAATATCGAACCTCTTTGCCAAAACACAAAGAATGATTGATCGAAACCTGAGGCAAGGAGTATCTGACTGAGAATCTGAGTATATATCTCCTAAATATTTCAGATAGAAATGTGTGTGGTTCAATGCATTACTTACTAGTGAGGAAGACTTTGTTTGAATTTCATTCAAATGTCAATAACCACCTTCCCTGAACTGGGCCCACGTTTTCAATTGGACTCTGGTGGTCAGGTTCTCCACAAACGCTACATGCAGTAGCAGCCTGACTGTCTCAGGAGAGACCCCCCCCCCAATTCCAATCCCGCTCTGCCTCAGCCATTTGACGTCGAAGAGCGACAGAACGATACGCCTGATTTGGCATTCCACTGCCAGGCGTCTAACAGACCCAAGCAAAGGGCAATGATTGCCTTGCCTGTGAGCGGCCGCATTTCAATTTGAATGATAAAGTCTAAATCCGAACGCTTTGCCATTGCATTAACCGCTCATACCCTGCCATTTTGTGCCTGGCGCTTTGTCATTTTCCTCATTTTCCCAGGCTTGTAAATGCAACTGCCCTCTGGCCTGACCCAGCAGAAACAAGCTCCCCTGTCTGCATAGCCTCAGGCTGGAGGAGCATAGCTCTGTAATCCTCCAGGGTCATGAAGCTACCTTTCAATTAGCCAGAGGGTTAGCTCTATGGCACATCAGGTCAGATGACTATCTGTCAAAATAATCCCCCATCATTAATCAATGGGAAGCCAATGGAAGACAGAGTACCCTAAATCCTTCAGGACTAGTACTGGGATCGCTTTTCCCCCTCTACCCCAGCTTTGGGGCCTCCTCACTCTGTTCTGGAAGAATGAAGCTGGAACCACACACTTCTTTCTCTCTCTCCTTCTGTCTCTCTCTCTCTCTCTCTCTCCCCCTCTTCAGCTTCCCCCCATGAATGACTCACGGAAACGCAGATTACCTCATTTTGAGGCAGATTGCTACATTGCTATTAACTGTGTGTCGGTTTGTTGATCTCTATCAACAGCCGAGGTCTGGATTCAATCATAGCAGCAGATTTGTCCAACTTAGAATTGGTCTCAAAACAAATGTGCCTGTGTATAATGCAGTCTTAGTACAGTAGTCACAGAACTGATTGAGAATCAGAGTCCTTTATCTAAAAATAGAGAGACGTTCATGTTATGATTTTTTTTAGTCTTAAGACAAGCATGCGCTAACAAATGTGTATATTATGTGTGCTCTGTAGAATTGGAGTCTAAATAAGCTTTAAGCTAAATCCATCAGATGTGTTTAGACGGTAACCCCATAATATTTGATGGACTGCTCAATGTTTATATAATCCATTATGCAGAATATGCACATTAACAGGGTGTTTAGCCTTTGCAGCTATCAAATGCAGTGTTTCTAGAAACATACCACCAGACACACACTGAGAATCAATACCCAATCCAGATTCACCCATCTCTGCTTACAGCATGTCTTTTGTTTTTACGATCATGTGATGCAGTCATTTCTTTTCAGTAACTCCTAGCCGAGGCTCATTTCCTCTGAGCTTACATTCTTGAGGTGGTGTGTCAGAGTGGGAGTCGAGCACTCGGAGCTACACTAGTTCACCCCTCCTTGTTGTGTGTATCGACATATCCTGAAAGCAGGCAGCAAGTCCACTTAAGAGTACATGCCGACTGGGTGAATACAGTGTTACTGCTGCATATAGAGACTGCAGCTGGGAAGAAGGTGGTGGTGAATGAGGAATCAGAGTGACTAAGGGTGGGGATGTCACTGAGGTTGGGGAGGGGAATACCTCCTAGCGTTCCTCACCTCTGTAGGGGAGCAAGGGTGCAGCTCAATTCAGAGAAGAGACAGCTGTGTGTGAGAGAGGGAATTAAAGAGAGACAGCACAGTGTGTGTGTGAGCGAGGCAGAGACTGCTGTGTGTGTGTGTGTGTGTGAGAGAGAGAGAGAGAGAATTAAAGCGAGACAGCACATTGTGTGTGTGAGCGAGGCAGAGACTGCTGTGTGTGTGTGCGCGTGCGGAGTGTACTACTGAAAGGAGATGTACAGTGGGGAAAAAAAGTATTTAGTCAGCCACCAATTGTGCAAGTTCTCCCACTTAAAAAGATGAGAGAGGCCTGTAATTTTCATCATAGGTACACGTCAACTATGACAGACAAATTGAGAATTTTTTTCTCCAGAAAATCACATTGTAGGATTTTTAATGAATTTATTTGCAAATTATGGTGGAAAATAAGTATTTGGTCACCTACAAACAAGCAAGATATCTGGCTCTCACAGACCTGTAACTTCTTCTTTAAGAGGCTCCTCTGTCCTGCACTCGTTACCTGTATTAATGGCACCTGTTTGAACTTGTTATCAGTATAAAAGACACCTGTCCACAACCTCAAACAGTCACACTCCAAACTCCACTATGGCCAAGACCAAAGAGCTGTCAAAGGACACCAGAAACAAAATTGTAGACCTGCACCAGGCTGGGAAGACTGAATCTGCAATAGGTAAGCAGCTTGGTTTGAAGAAATCAACTGTGGGAGCAATTATTAGGAAATGGAAGACATACAAGACCACTGATAATCTCCCTCGATCTGGGGCTCCACGCAAGATCTCACCCCGTGGGGTCAAAATGATCACAAGAACGGTGAGCAAAAATCCCAGAACCACACGGGGGGACCTAGTGAATGACCTGCAGAGAGCTGGGACCAAAGTAACAAAGCCTACCATCAGTAACACACTACGCCGCCAGGGACTCAAATCCTGCAGTGCCAGACGTGTCCCCCTGCTTAAGCCAGTACATGTCCAGGCCCGTCTGAAGTTTGCTAGAGTGCATTTGGATGATCCAGAAGAGGATTGGGAGAATGTCATATGGTCAGATGAAACCAAAATATAACTTTTTGGTAAAAACTCAACTCGTCGTGTTTGGAGGACAAAGAATGCTGAGTTGCATCCAAAGAACACCATACCTACTGTGAAGCATGGGGGTGGAAACATCATGCTTTGGGGCTGTTTTTCTGCAAAGGTACCAGGACGACTGATCCGTGTAAAGGAAAGAATGAATGGGGCCATGTATCGTGAGATTTTGAGTGAAAACCTCCTTCCATCAGCAAGGGCATTGAAGATGAAACGTGGCTGGGTCTTTCAGCATGACAATGATCTCAAACACACCGCCCGGGCAACGAAGGAGTAGCTTCGTAAGAAGCATTTCAAGGTCCTGGAGTGGCCTAGCCAGTCTCCAGATCTCAACCCCATAGAAAATCTTTGGAGGGAGTTGAAAGTCTGTTGCCCAGCGACAGCCCCAAAACATCACTGCTCTAGAGGAGATCTGCATGGAGGAATGGGCCAAAATACCAGCAACAGTGTGTGAAAACCTTGTGAAGACTTACAGAAAACGTTTGACCTGTGTCATTGCCAACAAAGGGTATATAACAAAGTATTGAGAAACTTTTGTTATTGACCAAATACTTATTTTCCACCATAATTTGCAAATAAATTCATAAAAAATCCTACAATGTGATTTTCTGGAATTGTATTTCTCATTTTGTCTGTCATAGTTGACGTGTACCTATGATTAAAATTACAGGCCTCTCTCATCTTTTTAAGTGGGAGTACTTGCACAATTGGTGGCTGACTAAATACTTTTTTCCCCCACTGTAAAGGAAGGTTCCAGGTGAAACGAGTGTGAAGTGGTGGCTGTTATTCAGTAAGGCATCTTTTCTCTGCTTTAGTTTCAGCACATCTGCCCAGCGTTCTAAGAAATAAATAATTTAGAAACTTCTCAATATCCGAAGAGAGAGGGGGATTCAATTGGCTGTAGACTAAAATGGAGGAGTAAAAATACATTTTGCGTGTGAGAGATTTTGTGTCCGCTTCCATATGGCTGAAAAGAAAGGGAGGGAATTGTGGTGATTGAGGAAATACCTCGCTCGCTTCCAACTAGACTACAAGAATGTGAAATGATTGAGATGGTTATGGAAACACAGGAGACTTTCAGGGAAGGGGAGGAGGGAGGGTTGGGGTCGATGGGACTGGAGATTTGATGTGAATGTGCATGCGTAGGTTGAGAAGGTGCTCTGACCCCCATTGATAGAGTTCACACTGTACAGCACTGGCAGCACAACGCGGTACATTCCCTCTTCCCACATTATCTGGAGGGATTTTAATAGACAAGAGTTAAGTGCACCAAGAGTGCGTCAACCTTAGGTTGTTATAGGATATTTACAGTTCTATGTATATGGGTACTTTACCTGTACTGTACAGCAAGAACCTGAAATCGTACTCATCATTATTTTCAACATCATCCCAGATCCATGTTATTTTCCCTGCCTCTTTCCTGTTCGGAGAATCTCTTTTCCTGTTTGCTAATTTGTGATTCTCCGAAACAGGAAGAGATGGTTCAGGTCGGATCTGCTGTTGTGCTCCTTCCCCTAATCTCTCTGACATGACAGTAATATAGGCGGTGATATAAGCTCGCTGTGATCATTTTGACATTTATTACCCCTTGCTGGTTGATTTAGTCCTGGCTCCCAACTACCCCTGTCCTAGTTCTCCCTGTGCCGTGGCTTTGACGTTTTCACCTCCCCATACCCAGATTTAGATCTAGACATTAAGGCCTTGCATCTCCCAAGCCCTCTGTCTTGGCAGGGCATTCCAAGCTGCCCTGTATGAGGTCGGGGTTTGGAATGGATCAAACTGTAGGTGGGCTTTGGCCTCTTATAGCCTCATGTGGCTCTGAGTTGAGTTCCTCCATTGGACTGGTTCCTGGTTTATAGTGGGGGAGCGCTCATAGCCCAGGGTTAAACTAACTGACCCATTAGGTGCGAGGGGGGGGGCAGAGCAGTATGTCGATGTGTTCCAATTCCATCATGCATGACCACAGTGATAGTCTTTACCACTTCTGTAGTCCCCTTTCACTTCCATTTTCCTATCGCTGTCCCTGTTTCTCTCTCTCTCTCTCTCTCTCGTCTCTGCGTTGTTGTGCCCGATGTACGCCTCGGTCAAAATATCAGACCCGGGATTCGTCACATCGTGTGTCACAAAATGTGTTCCTCATTTTTGTTTCTCTACTGAAACAAGAGTGGACCGGCTCAAACTTGGCTCACACCAACCGTACTGTATAAATGGGCAACAGGGGGCTGCAAAAAAACTGCAACTAAAGGGGAGGAATCAATCCCAGTCAAATCGCAACAACACTGATCGAGACACCACCACCTCACTGACAGCATCTCACCAGGAGAGCACCAGAACAACAGTACTACTCCTACGGAAAGAGGCCCATTAAAAACCGACCAACCCCCCTACCCTTTCCTCCCCCAATTTTTTTGTATTTTCCTCTACCTTTTGCTCCCCTCCTCCCCCCCTCTGCAGAGGCCATAGTGGACCCGTCCAACGCGGGCGTGTTGGCGGGGGCTATCATCGGCAGCCTGCTGGCTTTACTGCTGGTCAGCGCGCTGATTGCTGTCCTGGTGACCCGCAGTCGCCGGCAACGGCGTGGTTACCCCAGCAACGGAGAGCCAGGCGCCTACGGGAACAAAGCCCGCCTCTTCGGTGGAGCTGGCAACAAGAATGGAGGCACTGGGGCCAACATCAACGGGCCCATCTATACGTACCGCGAGAGCGACCCTGGAGCGCTGGCTGAGAAGGTCAACGACTTCCACCACCACGGCCCGCCAGGCTCCACCCCCACCGCCCACGACATCCTGCTGAGCAGCGAAATGGATGAGGCGGAGCGCAGGAAGTTCGACGCACTTGACGACAGCCTGGAGGTGGAAGAGGAGCGCTACGACAGCTTCAGCGTCGGCATGGCGCCAGCCTATCACATCCACCGGCACGACGAGGAGATGGGAGGGGTCAGCATGTACCTGGACGACGACATGGAGTCACAGCGGGACGGGTCGGTCATCTCCCGGACTGCCATCTACGTCTAGAGAGGGACGGTCAACCAACAGGGTCCAGGAGGGAGAGCTGAGGAGAGTCCACCACCAACCTCCAACCGCCTCTCTCGAATGATACCACCAACAACCACCCCTTCCCCTGCATACTATAGAGACATTCTACGCTTATGATACTTTTCTAAAACAAGGAGTTGAAACTGATCTCTAACAAGCAGAATGATGACTTGAGTGCGCTGCTGAATGACTAGACGTCTCTAAGTCAGTCAGTCTACCCAAAAAATTAAACGATGTAACTCATCTTCAATGCTGCTTACTGCTCCATTTCATTTCAGCTTAGCAAGTGAAACATGAAGAATGACCATGTGACTGCATTAGTAGCTAACTAATCCACAGGACTGCAAACACTAAGACTTTTTCTTGGTAAGGAAACATATCATTCAATGTCACCTTCATGGTAAAACTTTAGACGCATTCATAGATGGTCGCACTAGTTATATAACCACTGCTACTGCTTCAAGATGTCGTCCAGTGGACCGCGGTGTGGAGGACAAGGAACAAAGCTGTAACTTGCTGTCTTAATGTGCATCATCACAGGCATTCATACACAGTGTTATGTAATGGTCTTTGTATTATCAAGATGTTTGGGCCTTAAGGCCTTGTTGAACCGCATTTGGTTTTAATGACTCATATAATGACTATTAGGCAGAGCTAGTCCTACCAACTTCATTTTCATGCACATTTCCTTCTTTCTTTTGGTATTGTGATTCTTTTCTTTTACATTTGGGATGCCAGTGACATGGTAGACCAAGCTGGGGGTGGGGTTTGGACGAGAGATGTGGGCGACCAGATCCGTTTGTTTTTCCACCTGTATGTTGGCAGGGATGTCACTGCTAGGCAGTGGTTCAGCTGGCACCGTCTGAGGTGGACTAGCCTACCACTCTGAGGGACCAACCAGCTCCATTAACAATCAGAGCCACGGACAGATGAGACACTCACTGACAGATCGACAGGCACACCCAGCTCTAACTGGACTACCTCCTCTGCCTGTCAGTTTGACCAATTAGAAAAGGATGCAGACTCCATTTCCCCGGCAAGTTGATCAATGCAGCGTCTTTTTAATAGTAAAGAAATGTTTTGCCGCCGACGCTCGAGGGATCAGAGGCAGAGGCGGAATATTTCCCGCTCTGTTTTTACCAGAACAAGCTGTTCCTACCCCGCATGTTTAATTCAGGAGTAGAAGAAGCATAAAAGTGTTGCGCATTATCTTGTGCAGAGGGATAGAGAGAGGCTGATTTCCGGCTGGTATTGAGCACTTGTGCGATTAATCCAGTTAAGCCAAGCTGCACATACGGCTGAAATTGCGAAATTTTGCTCCCGAATACAGTAGGAGTTATGAGGTGGTATGAGGTAGACCGTCTACGATCAATTATCTTCTTAGACTTAGAAATATTCTCTTTTTTTGCAGGGCAAAAATACTTAGTAGAGGTTTTTTTTTGCTGTATATTAATGGACAAATCTCTTCTGGCCTTCTAAGGGGGCAGTAACACATTAAATATGCCTGTGACTGTGTGTGGGGATATTTCTGACCAAGGCCCATTAGTTCTAAGCCTGGCCAGCATATGTGTTTTCGAGTTCTGAGTGGACCGAATTTGACTAGCTGCCAGACCTGGAATGAGGTTAAGGAGCTAACCCCACCCGCAGTATGTTCCACTGTCGGATTAGCGGCGTTCACTTTAAAGTAGCGGTCGTGTGTGGGTGTGCTGACGAGTGTGTGTATTGTGCAAGGGTGTGTGTAGCGTGATTGTACAGATTTGTGTCGGCGAGTGGATTTTGAGTTGTGTATCCCACACGCTGATTCACCGCGCAATAGCCCAATATTATGCAGGAGTTGTTTTGCATAATTTCATACATATGGATTGCTAAACCTATCATGATTTTATCTCTGAGTCATTCATCACTCATTTTATGCACAGTAACCTCACTGATGAAGTGGTTGGGTGACGGTGATAGGAAATTGCTTAGCATGAGGACCCGCATGGATATGAATATTTCACTGGCGGAGCCGGAATGGCTGAAAGGGACCTTTGGAGTGGTCTCCTGTGCCACCCCGGCCAGATGAAGTCCTGATTGGGTATTGGTATGTCTTGATTGGGTATTGGTATCCGGGCCGTTTCTCTGTAGATATTATGCCCCACTCCCCCTCCTTTGCCGTTTCTTATCACAGATTCATATCACATTATCAGATCATCACCACTGTGTTCAAATTAACTGTTTTCCTTATGATGTTTCGTGCGAATGGGTATACAAAAAAAGACAAAGAAAAATAAGTGTTTTTATGTGAAGTGTTGATTGTGTATATCTTGATGTAAGATATCCATTTAATGAAATAAGTGTGTATTTATCTTCAAGACTTCCTATAAGAAATGTTATTTGTAAGTGCTGTGTAGATGATGGTAAATTGGTCCAGTATCACAGACTACTATCATGGGAGTTGGTTGGAAAATAACCAATGACTACAAATGACCTTACTGTAATTACATGTGTCAAGACATGTATCTTGTAGCCTACTGGTACATTATATTATCAAGGGCCTTGAACTCCAAGCTGCTCTGACCATCTTCTCCACACAAACACTCTCTCTCTCTCTCTCTTCCACAGATACATTCTCACGAGAGCATATAATCACACACCCTCTGAAGATTTGTTTTACCCGTAGAATGCACACACCCAAAAACATCTTTCCCCGACCTATCACACCTTGAGTTCAATGCCTCCCATTAGCAGGGGCAAGATTGTTCCTCTTTGGGCTCCATCATTCTCCATCTTACTAAGATTAAAAGAGAGAACATCTTTCTCTACAGAGGCTTAAAACCTTTGATTCCCCATTTCCCTGTTTTAGAAGTAAACAAGCACCAATTTCACATTGAATAAAAAAAGTAATGTTTCTGGCATGCAATTACCCTTCCTGTCTAAGGGCAGTGGTGGTGGTTATTTTAAAAAGCATAATGGGTCACGACAGCCTACAATTCTTGTCCGACTCTAATCTCAAGACAAACAAATGAAGCCTTAAATTCACAATTCCACTACATGCAGTATTCCCTGTGTCCCTTGTGTACATAGTATAAATAAATAGAACATACATGCAACAAGCATTACTAATTTATGTGGTCATGTTAGTAGTGCATCTGTTCTGCCCAGCTCCTGGCATAATAAGATATTCATATTTTCTGCTCAATTCTACAGTGGGGTATATTGTTCTTGTGCACAATATTGACAGGATGATGACCTGGAGAATATGACTAATATTACAATTCTTCTATATTCCCAGGTGTTTATGTCTCTCACTACAAGCTGCTAGTATAGCAATGTCCTCTGTATCACCGTCCGACAGTGTGGGTGTTTCGTTCCAGTTTGTCCTGTCACTTTATTTTTGTATTCTGGTGTTATTAAAGTATGATGGATTTCTAAACATGATTGTGTCTTATGTGTGACGTTCAGACAGCGTAGTGGTCCGTCTGTGGATTTGATTGTGTATGTAACATGCATATTGACAATGTTTTGCTTCAGCTCTTGCCGTTATTTGGTCTACCTCGATATAAAACTGAAACGATTCTCATTATTACACAGAAAACTGTGTCTGTTCTTTGTTACATTTATCACATTCTTCCACAACATCCCCATCTAGACAAGTGTAATTACCCAAAGTGCTGGAGAAACTGTAGGGTTATTCATGTGGAACAATGAGAGATAATAAACGTAGCGTAACCATCATGCCAAGACTACTGATGACAATGAGCAGTTTCTCAAGTAGGTGCATTGATGGTTCCCTGAATGAGTTGTTTACAACAAGTGGGCTGGATGGTGTTTTATGTTGGCTACAGTTCCAAACGATTTTTATGGACTTAAATAAGGTGGCTTATTCAGACAAACCTGTGGTACTACGTTGCCCCACAACATCCTTGACTGTAGTCTATGAGCGAGACGTTTATGGTCCTCCTCAGTCCACTTTAGGTCCTTGTCTGTTGCCTTGACTACACCTCTTTGCGGCACTCTGTCAAACCCTTTCTTCATTCTGACCTTTTATCCTTGTTGACCTAATGCAGGCGATGGTGACATGAATAGGCATAGTTTCAGTTCAGGGAACGGTACTGAAAAAATAGCCTTTTAAGATCTTTGTACATCGGGGTTCCCCAACTGGCAGCCCGCGAGCCAAATTCGGCCCGTGGGTGGTTTTATTTGGCCCCCCAAGTTTTCTGAGCAAAAAAATAATATATTTTTAGAATTTTCATTGTTCGACATAAAAGACAGTAAAAACACCAGAATAACATCTCCAAGTGATTTTAATTTAGGAAATATGTTCCCAATTATTCCCATGCATAATAGAAAGAAGCATGTGATCGTATACAAATGTAAGCAAGGTTTGAAATTGTTTTAGTCAAATATTATATCTGTTTGGGCTTCTTGCGGTCAATTATCAGTCTACAAATTATTTGTAATTATGCATATTATTCGATTAGTTCCACGTTGTTTTGAACCGTGACTGGGTTGGAACTATTTTTCTCACGATACCTCTGTGTTAGAGAATGTGAATTGTTATGGATTTTGTAGGCCACCGTCTATGCTAATTATTTTTATTTTATTAAAAACGAGCCTTTATCCCCCAGTATGGATGGAAGACAGGGATGTTAGCATTCTCAGGCATGTCAGCATTCCCAGGCATGTCAAAATTCCATGACAAATTATACATTAATTGTCAAGAATTATAAAAAAATAATACATTATATTGAAACTGAGATATACAAAAACTGTAAAATAAACACTGGATGCTGAATGCTGGATGCCGAAATACTTGAAATTATTTTCCTCGACTCGCCAATAAGTGTCTCGCCCACATGACCTAGTAGCTCATTGTTTACCTTGGGGGTTGTGACCTTAGCCAGAGGGTGTCAGGGCAGGGCTAGCAGAAACGCTTGATAGCCTACTATGTTCGGGCCTCCCGGCTGCTTGCCTGCCTACAGTATATCGACAGGCCA